TGCCCTATCCATTTGTTCCGCAACCATATTAACTAACTGGAAGGCGACACATATTACTAGAAATGGATCTTCACTTTCCTCACTTAGCCTCTTCCCTAGGACTTTGCAGATAGACCACGGAGTCTCTATCTTTATTTTGATGAATCCCTCTGAGCTCATAAGAGTGACGAGCGAGGCTTCGAGGATCTCGATATGATGAACAAACGTGCATCAGAGGTCCAGATCAGAGCCTGTGAATTAAAGCCTACCTAAGCTGAACTGACGTTCGTATTGAAATTTGAGAAAGCAAGGTGTTTCGGTGGCCCAATTGGTACCTCTTGAAATTTGGATCTGCGAACCATGTGGAGGAGCAGACCCAGAACTGTTGTTCATTTGGCCCTGAATCGTGGGATTTCTCGTGTCTATCAAGAGGAAACTAAACAAGAATTGGGCTAGTCAGTCCCCTAGAAAGATGAAGACAAAGAAGAAGACTACATTTCTTGATTCGAATCTTCAAGAGCAGGTAAAGAATCAAGATGGCCAGAACAAGGGATTGTTCTTCTTCGTCTACCTATCGAATTCGTAAATATTATTGCAAGCAGACCTACCTCTCTAAGTAATCATTCCTTTTATGTTGGGTTCGCCATCGACCTCTCCATCAGTCTGGAATCAATACGTAAACTTGCCAAGTAAGGTAGATACTCCGTTTCTTTACTACCCCTACGCTAATCAATATACTTACTAGTAAATGGTCTTATCATTCCTTTCCCCTTCCTTCTCCCTTTCTATCTACTAAATAATAAGGGTTAACTCTCATCACTGCCCCTCCTTTCTTTAATATTCTGGCACCGATTATCAAGTAGATACTCTCCTTAAATATCTTTCCTAACGACCTGATTTCTGCTGAACCCATGATCATAATCATAATCATAATCATAATTTCAAACACCAGACCAGAGGCAACCCTGTCGAAACTTCCAATCCCCTCCTGTTTTTATATTTCCCCAGATACCGGACTTCTGCAAGGGGTTCGCAAGCCGCAGGGGCTTGATACGATCGTCCTGGATCCTCACCAATCGGTCGAACTCGCACATGCATCAAGTCTTCGTTCTTGATTTAGATTTCTACCGTTGAGCCAGTCTTATCGTTTTTTTCTACAGGATAATGCAAGATTTCGCCCCGCCCTGCCGCATCAATTGCCGGTGACTTTCGACTCTTCTTCCGAATCTGGCTGGAGGGGTTTCTGGAATCCCAGGGTTTCCTAGAAGCCCAGGTCCAAAAATCAATTCCTTTCTCAATACTGAAATCCCGAAAAAAGAAGGAGAAAAGTTCAGAGTCAGAGAAACAGAGGAGAAGATGGGCGCTATGGAGGACTTTCCTGCGCCCACGGCGCATGCCCCTTTACAACCAGCGTCTTCCTCCCTGCTCACACGACGTCGCAAATCTCGCTCGCATTCCACAAGTCGGTCGTCAGTCGACCAAACGTCCCCGGAAGTTATTACATCTTTAATTTCGTCCCTCTCTACCATCTCTGTTCCCCTCCAATCTCATTTCGATAACGTTCCGCGCCTCGACTTAGATACGGATCCATCTTCCCCCATATTTTCAGTATTCTTCCCATCGGAGCCACAACCTACTACGGAGCAGCACTCATCAGGCGATCATGGGTTCGGGATAAGCTACGGAGCGCAACAGCTTTCAGAGCACGAGACGCATAGTCCGTTTCTACATCCGGACGATGCAGCAGCAGCTCCGGTCATTCGCATGGCCAGGGCACCTCCATCTCCAAAGACGAAAAGCACTTTTGGCCCTTCTCTATCATCGGCGCGACCCGCTTCCAGGAGCTCATACACATCGGCCAAAGCTGCGTGTGAGGACAGCGCATTCGGTATGATCACAGCCGAGCCTGGCCCCCGAGTCTCCACAGCACCTAGTATCGCATCTACGGCTTCCGGAGGCAGAAAAAGCCTGAAAAGCCAGCTTGGACTGCTGAAGAAATCCTCGCGCGAATTCATGAACGATAAGGAAAAACAGACAGATCGTCTACGGAAAACGAGTAGTTACAACGACAGCCTAAGGCATAACATTCCCCGCAATAGGACCAGCTTGCGCTCTATGCATTCTATGGCTGACGTTGCCGAAGAGGCGCGACTGGATCATTTCTCTAAGGGCATCGATAGTGAAGCTGCCGTCAGTGCCCCGCCTAGCAGAGAACGCCTGTCATCGCACAGCGCCCGAGGGAGTGTAAGCAGCACGCCTGGAGGTATCGGGAGTGGAAGGGTCATTCCTGCGCGCGAGTCCTCCTTACGTCACAGTTTCTCTTCCAGCCCGAGGAAGCGCAGATCCACTCGTCATACGAGGTATTCATCCACCGCTAGCAGGGATACGAAAGTTGAGTCCAGCCCCGGCGAAGCTGGCAACGAAGCAGAACAGGTCACGAAGAGAATCCAAGAATTGAAGGATCAGCAGCAAAGGATCAAAACCGAATTGGAAACAGACGACAGCCCAGACAAGTGTTCCAAGGATTCCTCAACTAGGCCAAGTCAGCCCCTTAGGACATCAAGCTACACAAGCCATCACCCATATGCAGATGCAAGAGGAGCCGTCGCGTTTGACGAGAGTGCTCCGGCACCGGCCGTAATGACCGGGAAGAGCAGAACAACGGCGCGAAGTGACTCTCCGCTTACATCCAAAACCCCCAATTTGCCACTGCATAGGCAATCTTTTGAGAAGCCAGATCAGAATGATAATCTCCGCTCCAGACGATCATTGGAGTCTTCAGCTTCGAAGCGACACCACAAACGTGCCCCATCCGGGCCTGCGTCTCCAGTCCATGCTTCGGTCAGCGACGAACGACCGTCGAGTGCCGATTCAATAGACCTCGCGGTCTTAGAGTATATCTCATCGCCCAAACTTACTCAAAAAGTTCCCCACCCAACAACGGGCCGCGCCATAGCATTTTCTGAAGTTGGAGACCCGAAGGGCCACGTTGTATTGTGCTGCCTCGGTATGGGCCTGACCAGGTATCTGATGGCGTTTTACGACGAGTTGGCGCGGTCTCTCAATCTCCGACTAGTGACCTTGGATCGCCCCGGAGTAGGCGAAAGCGCACCTTATACAGAGGAGGCAGCAAATCCTCTCAGCTGGCCTGGTAAGAAGACCCATCCTGTCTTCGGCTTTCCCGAATTTTCATCACTAACCGAGGATAGATGATGTCGCAATCGTGTGCAATCACCTCAAGGTCAACAAGTTTTCGATACTGGCTCATTCTGCCGGGGCGATTTATGCGCTGGCAACGGCGTTGAGGATTCCACAACACATCCGCGGCCGTATCCACCTTCTGGCTCCTTGGATTCCGCCGTCTCAATTATCGAGCATGGGGCCACACAAGGAACCTGTACCTACTAATGCTGTTCCGTATTCCCAACGGATTCTGCGAGCTTTGCCTGCGTCATTCCTGAAGGTCGCCAACTCGAGTTTCATGAGTGCCGCAAGCGCTAGTCTCACCTCCAGTTTGCCGAAAGCTCCTCGCCGCACCCGACGCAAGACAACCTCAAAGGATATGTCCCCTGCGTTAGCAACGGAGCCGAAAGCGCCTGGACGGGCTCAGTCCAAGATACATCAACAGGGGGGTGATATCAAAGCACTACAGGATTTGAAGGCGCCGGTCGTCTCTCAAAGAACAGATGTCAAGCAGGTTGAAGTCACCACGAGTCAGACAGCCATAATCTCATCCGAAGAACGCGAACGCCAGAGCGATTATGATCTCAGGCTGACACACAAGATATGGGAGCTGGCCACAACGAACGCAAACCCGGCAGTTGATCTTTTAGTCTGCCTAGAACGCCGCCAAACGATTGGATTCCGCTATGTGGACATCACTCGCAATGTTGTCATCCACCACGGAAGTAGAGATACTCGTGTCCCTGTCGACAATGTCCGTTGGTTGGGCAAAGGCATGCGACGTTGCGAAGTGCGAGTCCTCGAGGGCGAAGGTCACGGATTAATGGCTTCTGCCACCGTTATGGGTAATGTGCTGATGGAGATCGCGAAAGAGTGGGAGGACTGGATGACCGTGGTCCAGGGCAGGCGACGAGGGACAGTGGGACCGCGTCCGGGTTTCGCCTTGCCAACATGATGCATGATGCGCACCTGAGCACGCGCCATGCGTCTTTCTTATCACAACTACAAACACAATCACCCATCTGCCTCAGCCATCTGGCTGAGAGCTTCCTATCCCCCACCTATTGTTCTAGTATGACACCGCTGCAGGTCTGCGGCTGTCATGTGCTGCAATCTCGACACCCCTGATAATGATCCCAGCCTCGAGTTCTGTTCTCAATATCAGGACACGTTTTGCACGCCGTCATCGAGAGTTATGCCTTTCACTTTTGCTTAAATCATGATACCAAGAGTCTTGTTCTGCTTGTTATTGTTACTCCGAGAATACCCATTATAGCATAGATAGCTGAGCTTTTAATGTAGTTTTTAATAAATAAGACAGCAAACGACGGCACTGAATTCTCTCACAAACATTCAAAGTGGTAGATCGAAGCGATTCTGTTGCGTTAAATTAGTATAATCCAGCCCTCGGAGAGGTAGTTATGTGATGAGTACTTACCGTGACGTAATTGGAAGCGCGAGCTAAGATACGACATACCTAATTCCAACGGACGATTCTGCCGCCTTTCTCATGGCAAATTGACCATATTACAAGTTGGTCACTTTGCTTCGGTTCCAGACGGACCTGAGAGTTGGGAATAGCCCGGAGCATATTCAGGCCATCGGATTTCCCTGTGGTCTGTCCCTTTACGCGGGGATTGATTGTCGTGGTCAATGTACAGAAGCTACCCCTAGTACTCCATTACTGCGGAGCTGAACGAGCGTGACCACACTTTACACGCGAATCTAATGTTAGATGCAAGAGAACTACAGTCGCGATTAAAGAAAATACAATAATCAGATTGTTAGCACCGGACAGGGGCTATATCTGACCGAGGTCAAGCAGAACATCGAACAAGATGTTCTCTCAGCGACGGATCAGGCTTCTGCTCATAGCCGCCGTGGTGCTGATGGTCACCATCTTCTACTATTCGGTACGACCTCCCTATTCTGCGAGAACTAAGCATACGGTAACTAATATAGCTTGCGAACGCTAGGGCGACGCCGGGACAATACAAAATCAAAGATTCTATCGATCTACTGTCGCGGCGATAGACGCCCACAGAGAAGCAAAAGAGGCTGCATCAAAACAGAATGTGCAACCGCAGAAACCCGCCGCTCCAAAACCCGTCGAGAATGCAAAACCTGTAGTGAAGGAGGCGGACGGAGTCAAGGCGGCCATCCCCAAAGGCGCCAGTGAGGAGATGGAGGAGATCCCAATTGCAGGACGTACGAAGATGACGGTACCAAAGAACAAGAATCAGGATCCGCCCAAGCAACAGCCCGACCCGGCATCTTCTGAGGATGACCCCGCCGTTAAAAATGAGCTCAATGCTATTCTCAAGAGGTCGCCCAGTACGTTAATATGTCCCCTAAGACCCATATCTGTTGTCTACGGGAGGGTCACTAACACCATGCTCTATTGCGCAGTCGTTATTTTCTCTAAATCCTACTGTCCTTATAGCAAGCGGGCAAAGTCTATCCTCCTCGAGAAATATAATATAGTACCTGCGCCGCACGTGGTCGAACTTGATCAGCATGCAATGGGACAACAACTTCAATCGCTCTTGGCAGAGAACACCGGCCGACGTACTGTACCCAATGTACTCGTCAATGGAAAGAGTATAGGCGGCGGTGACGACGTGACTGCACTTGATGAGAAGGACGAGCTTGCCTCGACGCTGAAGAGTCTGGGTGGGAAATGGATACAGGAGGTCGATCGTAAGGACCAAAATAAGCAAGCTGAGTGATGGTCACCGCGCGACAGGTGTGATGGGGACACAATACAGCATGGAGTTTGGTCGGGTGTTTGGGCAACTGGGTTCCTGGTTTCTTCTTCTCACGACTCCTCTGGGTATTTAAAGCACAATCTCTTCGCCATAGGCACGGGGGCAAGTCCTTGCAACTAAATAAGAAGTGAATGACTTTGCATTCCTTTCTCAATGTCCTATCGTATAAATCTTATAAAAATGCTCTTTTGATGCCTCAGGCATTCAGCTCAGCGACATTCAGCGACATATAGCGACGGAGAGAGATAGCAGCAGAACTTCTAATAAAAACCAAATAGACCGGATATCATTGACAATAGATATCTAACATGCTCGTAGTAATAATAATGATCATAATCAAAAGGTACCTTAGCTGGGGCTAGATACCGCTCTAGTTAACTGTAAGATGTCCGCTGCCGGCAGAACCCTAGAATACGCGCTAAGCCGGAAGGGTCGTTAAGCGACGCACAACCCGCCCGCCCTCGATTTTCGCTCCACCAAGACCAGGCCGCCTCCGTTGAATTTCGATCCTTTTGACGACCGACCGCACGAACGACATCGACAATTCTCCCCTCGGACATTCCACAGCCCACGCAGTCAAGATGCGGTACATTTACTCCGAGGAACGGCTGCCAATTCCCGAGAATGGTGAGCAAGCGCTTCGTCCCTTGTTGTTTGAGGTCCTTGGAAGAAAAGACACCGGAGCAGAATGGAAGACAAGTAGCGGTGCTTTTGGGTGCGCTGGGAAGTTGTCGCGCCGGTCTGGCTACAGTCACTGTTTGCAAGGAAGACCGCTGCTACATCCCTGTCCAAGAGGAGGGAATGCGAGAATGACCGCTGTTTGGGATCAATGTCTTGAGAGGAATAGGGACTAACGTGGATTTACGCCGTTTAGTGAAGGTTCACATTCGCTCGCGAGTTGTGACCGTTGAGGGACCCCGAGGTACGCTGAATATAATACCCAATACTTGTCATGTTCGGGAATTCTCTTCTCGAGGAGAGGGAGAAATTTCAGTCGAGACGAGTGACCCGTCATCGTTGGGGGTCAACGGCACTGACATGGAACTTTTTTACGCGATTCAGGCAAGCTCGTCAAGGACCTCTCCCACATTGCCGTCACCTTCCGCCGCCCCGAGAACAATGTCATCTCCATCGAGATGCACCACGGTGTCCGCAAGGGCATCGCTACCCTGCGTACCGTTCGCACCCTTATCAACAACTTGATCATTGGTGTCACCCGGGGCTTCAAGTACAAGATGCGCTACGTCTACGCTCACTTTCCCATCAACGTCAACATTGAGAAGAACTCCGAGACTGGCCAGTTTGAGGTTGAGATCAGGTACGCTGCTGCATAAACCCCCAATTGAAGGAAGCTGGGGAAAGAGAACTGGCTGGCCGTCCTTCCAAGATCTCGAGAGAACGGGGCCTTTGACCACGCGAGATACTGTCGCATTTATTTCCTGTTAGAAGAAGAGCTGTGCTGACGGGCTTAACTTTGCGCTTGTTAGAAACTTCCTGGGTGAGAAGATCGTTCGTCGTGTCACCGCCCAGCCCGGTGTCGAGGTCGCCACCTCCACCAACGTTAAGGATGAGCTCCTGCTCACCGGTAACTCCCTGGAGGCTGTCTCCCAGAGCGCTGCCGACATCCAGCAGATCTGCAGAGTCCGTAACAAGGATATCCGGAAGGTATGAATGCCGGCCTGTTACGTTTGGTGTATGTCCTGATGCTGACCCCATGTCTAGTTCCTTGACGGTCTGTACGTTTCGGAGAGAGGCAACATTGTTGAGGAATAGACGATTTACGGGTCCGTCCGCCGTGCTGTGTAGTTGAGGATGTCTGGAGAACTTCATTTCGCACTACTTGCATTAGGGAAAAAGCAAAGCGAAAGTCAATGCAAAACTAAAACGGAATTCGAATGCCCCTTTACGTGTCCACGGATATGGCTTTTCTCATCTGAGGAACATAGTATGTAGGAAAGATCCGGCTTCTACGAACAATCCAAGTTTCCTTTACTTCCATTCAAGCTTGGTTTTACACTGTGGAATACATATCTCAAGACCTTGTGCCCGACTCTCTTCTGCCCACATCCGACGTATCGTAGCCGGGCCAGGAGTCGGAAGGACTGGCATTCGCTGCAGGGCGACCTGAGGTGAGAGCCGAGAAAAACCGCCAAGGGTATCCAGATAAATGAATCTCCCGAAATAGACATCTATAGACCCTGAATGCACAGCGGAACTATGGTTGGAGCGGTTATTTTCACTTGTGGCGGAGAGTTGCAATGCTGCAACAGATCCCATTTCTCTTTTCATCTTCCATCCCTGGTAACCTCCAACAACAACTTCTTCTCCTCTATCCATCTTCTACAGAACCTCAATCTTGGGGCTCTTTTTCTGCCAGAATGATTGTTGTCCCGATTTGACTGCCACTAAAGCAGGGCTGATGAGATACCTTCTCCGCGTCATATGTCATACCCCATCAACTCTTAGCATGTGAAAGCAATAACACCCACATGCGCCGTACGCCATCACGCTCACCGCACACTATTTGTAGTCTACCATAAAAAGATGGAGTCCTGGGTAGCTATCTCTGCTCTTTTCTCTGCGATCTTTAGCATGGTGCTCGACGTCGCGCTGTTCTGGAAACATGTATGCTCTTCAACCTCCGCGCAAAGATGTTCCAATGGCTGTGCTGATCAAGGTCGCCCTGCAGAGGTTACTGGCATGGTGGTTCTCAAAATCGCCTAAAACTAGACTGCGACATCGTCTGGCCACAGCGCAGACATTTGAGGAGTGGGAAGAGGCTGCCTTTGAGCTGGACGAGCTCCGGAGCGCGGATTTATGGTAGGTTGTTTTAGATCTCGCCTGCCTGAACCGATAAGGGTGGTAGCTAACTGTAGTGCAGGCGCCAGAACCCGACAAGTCGACATTACGACTACCGATTGATCCTGGGGCGAGTAGAAGCTTTGATGACTGCTCGTGAGGAAGACGATATCCTGACACTGGCCAATCTTCTCCGCTCCGGACTTGTCCGCAACCTGGGCAACATCACCTCCCCGAAACTCTTCTTACATGCGTACGCTGGCACGAAACTCCTCATTGATGACTATATCACACAAGTCGCGCTTTCGATCCAGCACATAACAGCTCTGCAGACCGCTCCAGTCCACGAGAGTGGGTTCACCTCGCAGGCCAAGCTGGAGCTCCTGCATGATACTCGCCAAGCTTTCGGTAGAACAACTCTGCTCCTGCAAGGTGGCTCAATATTCGGGCTATGTCACCTTGGTGTGGTCAAGGCTCTGCATCTGCAGGGTCTTTTGCCCAGAATCATCACGGGGACGGGAACAGGAGCGCTCATTGCGGCTCTGGTTGGGATCCACTCAGAGGACGAACTGTTGTCATTCCTTGATAGTGATGGGATTGATTTGACGGCTTTTGATCGCCGACGACGTGAGAAGTTTTCTGGCGAGCACTCACAGGAATTGCCTTATAGTAGCGAAGACAGCTGGCTTGGGACGCTTTTCCGTCGGGTGAAGCGCTACATTGAAAAAGGCTACTTTCTCGACGCTGGAGTTCTGGAGGAATGCGTGCGGGCGAACTTGGGTGATTTAACCTTCGAGGAAGCATATGCACGGTCGAAACGGATCTTGAACATTACAATAGCGACATCAGGCAAGAATGGCACCCCGAACCTGCTGAATTACCTGACCGCGCCGAATGTTGTAAGTATACACTTACGCTCAGCTTTGAAGCTTTAGTTTTGGAACAGTCACTTTGTTTCGAGAGCCTGGCTGACGCACTACAGTTAATCTGGTCGGCGGCAGTTGCCTCGAATGCATCCACGGGTTCGTTATACCAGCCTGTCACGATATACTGCAAAGATGAAACAGGGTCAATAGTCCCCTGGCCACACGCTCAGGACGCCACCTTCCAGTCATGGCGCCACGTAGATTATAACGACGGGGAGTCACCGCTTTCCCGCATCGCCGAATTATTCAACGTCAACCACTTCATCGTGTCGCAGGCGCGGCCGTATCTCATTCCATTTCTGGGCTCGGACCTGAACCTGCTCGACCGCCATCAGACTGGCCAGTGGAATATCACACGGCCGCTGATGCGCCTAGTCGTTGTGGAGCTGCGCCACCGACTTCGCCAGCTGGACTACCTCGGTCTCCTGCCTCAAATCATCGGCCGACTCCTCATCGAAGAGACGATCCCTGGATCGAATCTCACGCTTGTTCCCGATCTATCTCTGAGTGACTTTACGAAGCTCCTACAGAACCCGAGCAAGGACAAACTGGCATGCTGGATCTTAAAGGGTGAAAGGGGCGTTTGGCCGGCCATCAGCGCGCTCAAGGTCCGCTGTGTGGTCGAGATCGAGCTCGACAAGGGGTATCAGCGCGTGCGGCGAAGGCGGCCAAGCGAGAGTGTAGCATTGCACCGGCGTGGTCCCAACGAGGGTGTGCCCAGGAGACGAAGGGGGTATAGTATAGACAACGGACGGGATCTGAGCAGTTTGCTAGGGAGTACGGACTATCAGCCGGATGTGCTGAATTCATAATAGGAAGAGGATGGCTGATAAATACAAGGTGACAGTGTGCCTATCGACTTAGCAGGGCTGCGTGTTACCCTACGAATAGAAGGAAGGCCTATTGGCGTGTACACATTGTAATTAATTAACTGGAATCTTATGGCGTCATAAGCGACTACGGAATTACCAAAAAAGACAGACATGTGCAAGTGTTGATCTCGACCAGGAGATCCAGGATGATATATCAGTATATTCAAAGTCCATCGGACTCCGGGGGTCCTTTGTATGCTACAGGTTGCGGACAACGCATAAGCAGACGTCCCACAGATATGAGAGGCAGACAGGGAACTTACATTTCCGTGCATATACAGCATACCAACCTGCCGCGATGGCCAGGAACCCCACAAATACGACGGACGCATAATTCATCGAGACCCGCGTGACGGGCAGCACGGTGGGCATGCTGAACAAGACCAGCTCGAAGCCGATCCAGCACAATGCGATGACGTTGACGATGGGGCCGACGACGGGCCCACAGTTCCACAGGGCCTTGGAGACCTCTTTGCGGCCGTGCCGGAGGCTGAGGAAGATGGGGATGGAGTAGGCGACGGCGAGGGCGATGACACCGACGGAGACAAAGGCGGTAAAGGCGCTGGAGCTGCCGAGGTTGATAAGACCGAGAAGCATCTGGATGAGGGTGAGCAGGAGAAGGGACCAGACGGGGACGCCGAGGCGAGGGTCGACGCGGGCCCAGAGGCTGGCGAGCGGGATGGCATCGTCGCGGGCGAAGGCCCAGGTGGAGCGCGAGGCGGCTACGGTGATACTGATGGAGCAGAAGAGCGTGATGACGAGGACGAGGGTGGTCAGCGCGAGGCCGCCGCCGGGGCTGCCCATGACCCGGTGGAAGATGTAGGGGAGGGCCTGGGCGGCGGGGGCCGTAATGATGTCTTCCAGCGGCGGTAGAGTGAAACAGATGGGGAGGATAAAGAACAGGCCCGCCAGACCTCCGACCGGGACGCAAAGGCTGATTGCCCGGGGGACGTGGACTGCGGGATGGGCACACTCTTCTGCCATGGAGGAGACCATGCCGATGGCAGAGAATGTGTAGGCGGCGGGCAGGAGTCCGATAAAGAACGTGAAGCCGCCCCATCCGGAAAGGCTCTGATCGTAGTGGCCCAAAGCGTAGGCCGCGCTGTGCCTGCCCGCGTCGGCCTTGACGGATAACGCAATCAGGCTGATGAGGATGGTGAGTGCGGTGAAGGTAGCACAGGCGATGTCGACCTGGGGAAGGTAGCGGTTGCCAAACGTGCAGATGAAGAACGAGCCGATGCAGATGGCGTAGAAGATTAGCAAGAGCTGCCAGTCCGTAGCGGCCCAGTCCGGATGGTACATCGAGACGGTGGCCGAGACCAGCGATGCGAAGCCAAAGTTGACGGAGAGCGTGATGGTCCAGTTGCCGACCAGCCAGATCCAACCGTTGATGAACGACAGCACCGTCTTGGAGCTCCTTGAGATCTGAAACGACCAATAGTAAGGGCCTGCAGAGGTCGGCCAGCGAGATGCGAGCTCGGCCAAGGATAACGCTACACATTCATCGAGAACACAGACCATGATCCAGCCGACGAAGATCGAGAGAGGACCCCCGCCGTAGATGGCACTGAGTAGAGGACTTCCCTCCCCGTAGGGAATGGCGGCAATGGCCAGGGTCTGGAAGAGTAAAGTGAGAACGGAGCGGTTGCGATGGAGCTCCTGCTTGTACCCTAGGCGGTCGAGTCCCTCGCCTTCCTGGATGCTACCGGTCTCAGGAGCAACATCTTCCTTGCTATGTGCACTGCTGGAGGGATCAGGTAGCTTGTAATCCGCTCCGACATCCATGCCGAAAGATGAATTCTATAATGAGCACTGCAGACGGATCAAAAGGGCCTCAAGAAGAAAGGCCGAGGTCTTGTGCTGCTAACCAAGTCAGCAAGGAAGGTCTATTTATTACCCAGAGCTGAGTCGGTCGCTCACTATTCTAACACGCATGGATGGTCCTTTCCAGGGTGGTAACACAACTGATAAGATGCATCGAATCATCATAATTCGAGCCAAATCTGGTGTTGAAAATCCAGGCGCTCCTGCACATTCCAAATTCCAAGAGGGGGACGGATATGGTATACCCATCGGGAACGCGGGACGTAACGATTGTGGCAAAGTAAGCACCTCGCGTATCAGGATCTATGATTAGACGGGGTAGAACCCTGATAATAAAGTCCGATGAACCATG